ACTCGATTTTCCGGCGCCCGGGCGCCGGCTCGGGCGCCGACCCGGCGTCCGGCCCGGGAGCCGGGCCGGGTGCCGGCCCAGGCTCCGGAATCGGCCCGGACGGCCTCCCGGCGCCCGAAGCAGAAATTCATATTTTCGAAAGAAAAATGTGTATTGAAATGGCCTTTTTTCGGCGCGCCTCGATTTCTGGCGCCCGGGCGCCGGCTCGGGCGCCGACCCGGGCGTCCGGCCCGGGAGCCGGGCCGGTGCCGGCCCGAGCTCCGGAATCGGCCCGGACCCCTCCTCCCGGGCGCCGGAATTCAGCATTTTCGAATAAAATGTGTATTGGAATGCCTTTTTTCGGCGCCGCCTCGGAACTATTTCCGGCGCCCGGGCGCCGGCTCGGGCGCCGACCCGGGCGTCCGGCCCGGGAGCCGCTCTCGGCGGCGAGCAAGAGCACCGAGCCCGAGTAAAAAAGGAGGAAGTCTCGAGCCGGAGCGTTGTTGTTGTTGGGGGCCGGTTTTGGCGGAACCCCAAAACGCCTGAGCGTGAGCCTCAATTTCAGAGGAAATGCGGCCGGCGCCTCGGCGAGAGCGCCAGGGCGAATATAAGGGGTCCAACAATAATAATTGTTTAGTAATTAAGTTCAACACAACAACAACAACAACAACAACAACAACAACAACAACAACAACAACAATCATTTTACCCGAACGCTGGTGTTTTCCCCAGTGCCAGGGTTTTCATCAGGCAATACCCCCACTTCGTGGGGGGGCATTCAAGCTCTACAAATATCCAAACGACTCTTCGCGACCACCCAAACCCAGCTTCCCGCCCTATACGTTGGGACACTTCACTTCGTGGCGTGCGGACGACCGTGGCTACTACACTGGCGTGGGGTACACACCCACAGAACTTGGTCACTATTCGGGGCGCGCATGTGCCAGCATGGTGCAATTGTGCCATACAATACATAATACAGAGAGACAGAGAGAGAGACAGAGAGCAGACAGAGAGAGAGACAGAGAGAGCGGAGTTGGTCACATTTTGGGTCAAGTTCCTGGGATGATGGGAATACACAACCTAGTGTATAATTCGTTAGTTGGACAATGTGTCCCGCATGGTATTATTTGACAGGGATGATGGCCCTGGCAGGTGCGCCACCGTTGTCGCAGAAGTTCGAAAAAGTTGCTCGCAAAGCCCGTTTGACAGAAATGTTTAAAAAGTGTTGGTTTCCTACGAATCCGCAAGAGCGCGCGGGATGAGATTTTGACATTTTTTTGTTGAAAACCATTGGTTTTTTGATGTTTTTATGTTAAAATCGTTCCGAAACTAAGCTTTTGGAATAATTCGTCTTGCGCGCGCGAATGTCCACTTTACCTTCTTTTTTGCAAGGGATTCTTGAAATTTGATTATATTAGAACAAGAAATGTCATTTTATAGTGTTTTTGCAAGGGAAAACGGATTACAACAAAACAACCGGATCTTGATGCCTCGTATTACCTGAGGCTTCCTCACGAAAATGATGAAAAAGCTGCGGCCTAGGCGGGCAGGGGGGCGGCACCAGGGGCCCAACAATAATTATTCTTTAGAATTAATAATTTCCACAACAAAACAACAACAACAACAACAACAACAATTACTTGGGACACTCCGTTCTCACCAGTGCCAGGGTTTTCATAGGAGGCGGGCAATACCCCCACTTTGTGGGGGGGCCGGTTCAAGCTCTACCAAATTTCCAAACGAACTTCGCCACCACCCACACCCAGCTTCCCGCCCTATGACGTTCGGACACTTCACTTCGTGGCATGCGGACGACCGTGGCTACTATTCAGGGCCCCGCGGCCGACGACGACGGCGTGCGCGCGCGAAGAAAAACGAATGTGTCCCGCATGGGATTATTTGACAGGGATGATGGCCCTGGCAGGTGCGCAACCGTTGTGCAGAAGTTCGAAAAAGTTGCTCGCAAAAGCCCGTTTGACAGAAATGTTTAAAAAGTGTTGGGTTTCCTACGAATCCGCAAGAGCGCGCGGGATGAATTTTGACATTTTTTTGAAAAACCATTGGTTTTTTGATGTTTTTATGTTAAAATCGCTCGAACACTAAGGTTTTGGAAGGATTTCGTCTTGCGCGCGCGAATGTCCACTTTACCTTATTTTTGCAAGGGATTCTTGAAATTTGATTATATTAGAACAAGAAATGTCATTTTATATTGTTTTTTGCAAGGGAAACGGATTACAACAAAACAACCGGATCTTACACATCTTTTCTGAGGCTTCCTCACGAAAATGATGAAAATGTAGCTGCGGCCTAGGCGGCGCAGGGGGGGCGCGCACCAGGGGGCCCAACAATAATTATTCTTTAGAATAAATAATGTTCAACAACAACAACAACATCAACGAAATGAGGGCGGTCAGCGCCGACCCGTCCAGACCGCCCCCCCGGACACAACCACACCCCCCCGCCCCCCCCCCTAACACCCACACAACAAGGCCGTTCTACTTCGCTCCTCCAAGCTCCTGCGGCCTCCTTCCACGCCCCAACGTATTCTTGCAAGGGACAAGCATGTGCGCACCAGCGCAACGAGGAATCCTCACGAATCCTTGCGAGAAAACCCACTGCGGTAGCACAAGGGAGCGGAGCGCTCCACTACTAGCTGAGCCCCTACTAGGGACTCCACTAGTGGAGCCCCTACGAAGGACTGCACTAGTCCGCTGTAGGGACTCCACCACTGAAGCCCTACTAGGGACTCCGCTAGTGGAGTCCGTACTAGTGGAGGCCTAGTAGGGACTCTACTAATAAAGTCCCCTCGAGGGGCTCTACTAGTGCAGCCCCTATTATGGACTCTACTAGTGGAGTCCCCACTCGGGACTCAACTACGAGTAGTAAGGCCCTTATGATGAACTCTTCTAGTGGAGCCCCTAGTAAGGACTCTAGTAGTGGAGCCCCTATATAGAAACTCTGCTAAAACAGCCAAGGACGAGCCCGACAGGGAGGCCCAATGGGAGGCGCCTTGTCGGGAAGCCCTAGACAGAGCACCTGTACACGTGTGCAGCCCAGGTCAGCGAAGCAGTACTGATCAGCAGGGCTGCAAATATGAAACAACACAGCGAATACGATTTGCTAAACCGACAGCTTCCACTACTACTACTACTACTACTACTACTACTACTACTACTACTACTACTACTACTTCTTCTACTACTACTACTACTACCACCACCACCACCACCACCACCACCACCACCACCCCTACTACTACTACTACTACTACTACTACTACTACTACTACTACTACTACTACTACTACTACTACTACTACTACTACTACTCCTACTACTACTACTACTACTACTACTACTACTACTACTACTACTACTACTACTACTACTACTACTACTACTACTACTGCTTACTACTACTAAGACTACTACTACTACTACGACTACTACTACTACTACTACTACTACTACTACTACTACTACTACCACGATTACTGGTACTACTGCGCTCTTCAGGCAGACGCGCCGCCGCCACCCCTCACCCCTGAATGTTCAACAAGGAACCATCTGGGAACGACCTCTTATAGAGCGCCAACTCGTCCTGAGGGCCTGCACCTCCTGCCCCAGCCCCTCGACCTTCTGCGCTGCCTCCGTCTGCTGCTGTTGCTGTAGCGCTGCCTCCGTCTGCTGCTGCTGGTGCCGCTGCTATGCGATCGTGCGCTGCTGCTCCCCCAACTCCGCGAGCAAGTGATCGTGCTGCTGACCGCGCAGCAAGAGATCGTCCTCAACATCGCCCACTCGTGCTAGCAACACTCGCGCAGCATTTACGTGCGTAAGCAAAGCCTTCTATCGGCAGGTGGAGGGGCGACGGCGGCGGCGACGACATCGACGACGACGAACTTAAGACGACGACGCCCGCCTCGCGAAGCTGCCGCATCGCGGCGGCTATGCCAGGGGTCTCGGGCGCCATCGCAGCGCGGCTCTCGGACGACACCACGGGGGGATGTGCGGGGCCCGATCCGTCCTCGGGGGGGCTACGCGGGGCTCGCGTGCGAGCGCCAGCCGCTACGTACGAGCGCCCCGACCCCATCCCCATGAACCCTACACCCAACACGGCGATGCGGATGCTCCGCAGAGGCGACGTCGCGGGGTGGCACCGTCGCGGGGCGGGGGACTTGGGGGTGGCCGACTTGGGGGGGGGGCCAGGAGCAAATGATTGGTATGGGGTTCGAATGGGAATGGGGTCGGGGGCACATTGTGCGTGATCTATGGGGGGCATGCAGTTTACTTCGCATGCCATATATGCGAGCTCGTAGTTGGGCGTGCTGCTTATGGGGGTACAGCCATCGCCATGGGTGTGAAAACCATCATCGTTGCACATGCGTTCAGCAACATTTGCTTGTGACGCAACTGTGCATGATTCTCATTATGGTGACAATCGCATCTGCCACATCGTCGGCCGCGCAATTGCCACTGTCATTACCACCGATACACACCGACTCGAACGTACATGTCATGTAAGAGACGTTAGCGTCAGCATCACAAATCACATTATGCGTATGCAATCTATTTCGCCACAGCCGTTGTGTTGTTATGTGCGCGCGACGCCGTGAGTTATTGATGTGGGTGTTGGACTAGCTTCGGTTAGGGCGAGATAGTGTTTGGTATTTGTAATATCGTTGTTTGATGTCGAACGGCACAGTAGTGTAGAGCTTCGTAGGTTAAGGATTTCGGCTTTCGGGTGAGTACAGTACTGCAAGCTTTGTGTGGTCTGTATATGTGTAGAGTGCATCTAAGATGCACGAGGAACTATAAAGATCCGCGTCTCTCTCTCTCTCTCTCTCTCTCTCTCTCTCTTGCCGACGCCGTTGTGGCCCGTGTGTTCAGCCACGCCCGCGGCGCGCGGGCCGTGGGTTCACGGCGCGGGGCCCGCGCCTCCACAGGGTGCTCGCCCCCCCCCGCCGCGCGGGGCCCCCGACGCCCGCCGCGGCCTCGCCCCCGCCCCGTCTGGCCCTGCAGATGAGCGGCGGTGGCGACGACGCCACCGAGGTGGCAATGTTGCTCGCAGCGGCGAGCGAGATCCAGCAGCGACGGGAGAAGGTGGCGGAGGAGAAGCCGTCGCGGCTGCAGCCGACGTCCAAGAAGCGGCCGACCGCGCCGCGGACGGCTCCGCCAGAGCACGTCTCGGCGGCCGCCATGGCCTCCGCCGAGAAGAAGCGCAAGGCGATGTGCTGGTCGGCACAGGCTCGCGTGCAGACGCGGCGCGGCTCGGTGGCGGACTCGCTGCTCGAGAAGCTCAACCTCGCGCCGCCCATGCACCCGACGATGAACTCGATGAAGCACCTTCTCGAGTTCGAGGTCGACGAGCCCGAGGGCGGTGGCGACGACGCCGCGGGCGGCGGCGACGCGGTCGACGAGGGCGACGGCGACTACGAGGGCGCCATGGCGGATGAGTGCGAAGGCGGCGACGCTGAGGGCGGTGGCTACGACGACAGCGCTGGCGAGAGCTACACCGCCGATGGCGACGCCGAGGGCTACGGCTACTACAGCAGTTGCCGTAAAAGCCGCTACTACTACGACTACGACGACAGCAGCGAGGGCGTTGGCGGCAAAGACAGCTACTACACCAAGGACGGCAACGACGGCCACACCAAGGACGGCTACTACGGCGGCCACAACACGGACGGCTACTACTACGGCCACAACAAGGACGGCTACTACGGCGGCCACACCAAGGACGGCTACTACGGCAAGGACGGCTGGTGGGCCAAGGACGGCTACTACGGCCGTGAGAAGGGCGACGGCTACTATGGCCGCAAGGGCGACGGCTACTATGGCCTCGAGAAGGGTGACGGCTACTATGGCCACAAGGGCGACGGCTACTATGGCCACGAGAAGGGCGACGGCTACTATGGCCACGAGACGGGCGACGGCTACTACAGCCACGTGAAGGGCGACGACTACTACGGCCACAAAGGCGACGGCTACAACGGCCAGGAGTGGCGTGGCTGCGACAAGGGCGACGGCTACTACGGCCACAAAGGCGACGGCTACAGCGGCCACGTGAAGGGCGACGGCTACAGCGGCCACGTGAAGGGCGACGGCTACTACAGCCACGAGAAGGGCGACGGCTAAGACAGCCACGACAAGGGCGACGGCTACTACGGCGGCCACAAGAAGGACGGCTACGGCGGCCACAAGAAGGACGGCTACGGCGGCCACGTGAAGGGCGACGGCAAGGACGGGGGCGGGGGCGACGGCCCCCGCCCCCGCGGGGGCAAGCACATCCGCCTCGCCAAAGCACTGGCCGTGCGGGAGCACCTGCAGGGCTTGCGCGACCTGTCCGGGCAGGACCAGAAGTACGCGGCCTGGAGCCGCCGCACGCAGCCGCAGGTGTGGCTGAAGGCGGTCGCCGACTACGCTGCGGCGACCGCAGCGGGCTCAAGCTCCGTGTGATCACGGGGCACACGTCGGCGACCACCGTGTCGTCGTCGTGGTCGTCGTCGTCGTCGTCGTCGTCGTCGTCGTCGTCGTCGTCGTCAGCGTTGTCGTCGTCGTCGTCGTCGTCGCGTGGTCGGCGAGGTGCGCCCCGTCGGAAGGGGTTGAGGCTCCCACGGCGGCGACTCAGCACAGGAGTTGCCGCCGAAGCTGCGGGGGTGCACAGCAGCTGAGGGCTGCCACGAATACGGATTAAGAATCGTCGCAGAGGGCACCGCTGTCAAACGACACGGGTGTCGTCTTTGAGAATCTCAAAGACGACAACGTGTCGTCTTTGAGAATCTCAAAGACGACACGCGCGTCGCCTTTGAGAATCTCAAAGACGACAACATCTCTATTAGATTTAATATTACCAACGTGTCGTCTTTGAGAATCTCAAAGACGACACGCGCGTTGTCTTTGAGAATCTCAAAGACGACAACGTGTCGTCTTTGAGAATCTCAAAGACGACGCGCGTGTCGTCTGACAGTGGCACCCTCTGCGACGCTTCTCGGTCCACCTTCAGGTGTTCATCGCATCGGTCGTGAGGCCTTTGGACGATCGCTGAGCGACGCGTCGCTCCCGCTCAGCGTGATCGCTCCGCTTCCCTGAGCACTTTTCGGAGGCTCACGATCGACGGCGAAACGATCGACCTCCCCCCTCCTCCCTCTCATCCCTTCCTCCTCCTATTCCTCATCCTCCTCCTCATCCTTTGCCTCCCCCTTCCCCTCCTCCTTCTCCTGCTTCCTCCTCATCCGCCTCCGCCTCCTCCAGTTCCATCCTCCTCCTCGTCCCCCTCAGCATCCTGAGGTGTCCTGAGGTGTCCTGAGGTGTCCCGAGGTGTCCTGAGGTCTCCTGGGGTTGTCAGCTCAGAGATGCCCTGAGGTGTCCTGAGGCGCCCTGGTGTTGTCATCTCAGAGGTGTCCTGAGGTGTCCTGAGGTATCCTGAGGTGTCCTGAGGCGTTGCATTCGCCGTCGTCGTCGTCGGCGTCCGCCGTCGTCGTCGCCGTCGTCGCCGTCGCCGTCGTCGTCGTCGTCATCCCGCATCGTCGTCGTCGCCGCCGCAGTCGTCGTCGTCGTCCGCCGCCTTCGTCGTCGCCGACGTCGTCGCCGTCGCCGTTGTCGCCGTCGTCGTCGTCGCCGTCGTCGTCGTCGTCGTCCTGCATCGTTGTCGTCGCCGCCGCAGTCGTCGTCGTCGTCCGCCGCCTTCGTCGCCGCCGACGTCGTCGCCGTCGCCGCCGTCGCCGCCGCCGCCGTCGCCGCCGTCGTCGTCGCCGTCGCCGCCGCCGCCGCCGTCGCCGTCGCCGCCGTCGCCGTCGCCGCCGTTGCCCTTATCATCCGCATCGGCTGCGCCGTCTCACCGCCGCCCATCACCCCCGCAATCGCGACCCTCATGGTCCTCGCGAAGGTTCGCGACGCGGCCCTGGCCCTCGCGAGTGTTCGCGATCGTGGCGACTTGGCTCGCGATAGTGGCGGCCTGGCTCTCGATCGTGGCCTTCTGAGCTTCGATCGTGGCGTCGTTGCTCTGAATCTGCTCATGCCATTTGATGTAGTCATCGCGCTGCTCCAGGGCACGATCAACCACGGAGACGATCACACGGCGATGATCATCAGCCGACTCGAGCTGCTGGTTCATATCAGCAACCATGCGGTCCGCCGTATCCTCGACGGGGCCGCTCCGCCACGATCCACCACCAGCATAAGCCGAGGACGAGCCGTCACCAATTGACGCCAATTCGGGCGGGGAGGTCGACGGTGGGCTGGGCTGATAACCGTTCTGCACCAACATATACGGAGGATGGCGGGGAGGATGAGGACGAGGATACCAATGATGACGAGGACGGGGGCGGTGGAGATCACGCTGCTCAGACAGCGATCGCACATCGTCGACGGATGCGATCATCGTCGCAGCGTTCTGGCACAGATCGCGCCCGTCTCTCTTCTCTATAGCCACAATGCCGCGCATGCATGAAGATATCAAAGCACTCCGAGCCCTGCATCGCCATGATGATATACTGTTTAGGAACCAGCAGCTTGACACCGCCATCAAGCACAAGGCCAACAGCCTCAAGAAGGCGAAGCAGATGGACCGCAAGGCGACCTTGTCGCCGCGCCGCGCGCTGTCGGGACATGCTTGCTTATGCATGCAGATATGATATTGTTGTTTGGTGCGGTGTATGTACACTAGAAGAGCGGCGTGATATGATAGTTCTGGGCTAGGTTGTGGGGTGTGTCTGATGTTGTCGGCGTGATCCCGCCTGGTTGTGCGTCTCACGGCGGGCGCGGTGACGCCTATCGCCACACCTATCCCCTCCCCCCCCCCCCTCCCCCACCACCATCCCTCCGACATGCCCCGCCCGTTCGGTGTGAGGTGATGCAGTGCTTCAAGGCGTACGAGAAGGCCAAGAAAAAGGCCGAGGACGCCGAGTACGCTTGGCTGCAAGCGCGTGAGCACGCCGTGGACTTGCATGGGCAGCACGATCGGGCAAGGAAGCTGGTAATCGACACAGGTGGCTTGTACAGAGCACGGGGGCGCAAGGCCTTAGGCTTCGGCGCGTGAGTGCGTGGGTACGCAATTAGGTCCGAGTGTGTAAACACCGTTTCCCAAGAGTTGCGCCTGTCGCGGGGAGGGCGGGCGCTTCGCGCCATGCGCTAAGAAAACAATACCTGGATCGAGCTCGTCGGGGCAGCGTTGCAACCATTGCAAATCCGGGGTCAATTGTTTGGGGGGAGTGGGGGATGCGTGGCTTATCGGCTCAGTTGCAATAGGTTTTGCACAAGTTATCGCTTCAGTTGTGGAGGGGCAATGGGCAAGTCCCGCAAGACGATCGCGATGGATGCCCAGGCTCGCCAGGACTGGAAGGAGGACAAACATGTCAGGCTGACCAACGCTAACATCACCAAGGTAGCATGCAAGGCCGAGTTCTTGTGAGCATCGAAGAAGGTGGCCCCGTGTGTGAAAACACGTTAAACACTCATTGCAATGACAT